GCGGAAAAACGTAATTTCGCTGCGCTCAGGGGGCAGAGTTGTGAAGTTTGACTGACAGTTTGAGCGGTTCTAAAAGATGCACTTTTTAATGCCTTTAATTGGCTAAATATTTGTTAAAAAGACAAACAGACGTAAAGGGTTACCAATAGCATTGATTTATTGAAGAAAAAAAACCCTCCCCCCAAAAAGGGCACTTCGGAGTGTAATTACAAAAGGGTATGTGCTCTGCACAGGTGGAGCGCTACCTGTGCACGTGCCTGCTCTCTTCCACTAATGCAATAACCTCTGGCAGAACAGTGACCTCATGTGGTCGAATGATAAAGTAGAGAAACACCGAATGACATCTCTACAGCAGTAGAGCTGTTTGAATGAATTAGTGCCGATAACAGCCTACTGCTAAGTTACTGTGTTTAGAGATGCATCAGTTAGTGGTTGACAAAGCAAACAACCAGGAAAATTCTACCAATGAATGTGTGCAAAATATGAAGGAAAGAGGCATCTTGTTTCCGTTACTGCTTTCAGAATAAAATATCAAATGAATTACTGAAGGTAAATTACTGTAGGTCAAATGTAGATGTCAGTTTAAATGATTAGTTTGTATTAACAATACCGCAATGACAAACATGCACATTTAAATCCGAGATGCAGCGATGACCATATAACCTACTGTATACAGCCACTTTTTATGACAATACGACGACATGTTAACATCACCACTGCACTTCTCATACGTCTCTGGCCAGAGAACTAATAAAGGGGAAAAGGAAGCAGCTTTTACTGTAACTTCATTATGGCTCTGAAAATAACTTGACCTTTGCACTAAAATGCTAAATTTGTTTTTGACAAGGTATTGCACAGGGAATACTTCAAATAGGTTCATAAGTGGTCAAACCAATTTCATCAATTTTTTTTTCTAGATATCCATCACAGTAGAAACAAGAGCACTCAGAGAGCGCATGTACCTCCACCAAGGCACAACATTTGCTCATGCAAATGGGTCCCTATTGAAAATGAGATCCAGAACACCTAAAATCCCTGGCTTTGGACTAGATCTGGATCATTTTTTAGGGTATGACAGGCAGTTATACTATGTATTTTACCTGAATGTTTCAGGTTTCTATCTTCATTACAGGCCAAGTTATGGCAGAAAATATGTATTAAATGGGGGTTTCAGTGTTAAATTTAAGTAGCGGTCAGATCCAGAATCTGGATCAGATCTGGATTATATTAGGTGTGGTGCTAGGCATCACCACCCTATATATATGTGTCAAACTTTGAATTATTTTGATAACTTTTGACTGAGTTAGGAATTTAAAAAAAATTTTGCTCCATTTTAATAATAGAGATTTTTGATGTTTTTGTTTTGTTTTGTTTTTTTTGACCCTGTGATTCTTTGACCCTTTTCAGCCAAAATTTAATCTCTTCTAGGGTTGGTCCTCACCAATGTCTGGACCAAGTATGCTGATCCAGTATCCAGCCATCTGTCCATAATCCTGCTAACCAAGAAGCACACACGGAACCAAAAACATAACCTCCTTGGCAGAGGTAATAATAGTTCCACTATTTCTAACTGAAGCTCACTGACTAGTAACATGAAGAGCCGATAAACTTCCAGTGGTGCACAAGTTCCCGTTAAGCTCAGACAAGTAGAAATAGTAACAGTCTACTTCTCTTTACTTGTAAATTGCACAAAAAGGTGATTCAGCTCTTGCAAAAATACCTCCAGTGCTTACAACACATAAACACACACACACACACAGTCAACATCAAAAGTATAAATATAGTGCTAAAATTAATATAACTTGAATTACTGCTTTGCATTAGTTTGCCTCTGCCACCAGTCCAATTCACAGGAATGGGACAGAGGTGAAGTCACTGACCTTGACCTTTTAATACCAAGATTGAATCAGTTCATCCTTGAGTCCAGGTGGACGTTTGTGCCAAATTAGAAGAAACTCCCTTTTATGCCTCTGGTCACGGAGGCACACAGTGCAGTATCTTGTCACTACCTTCTATGTAGAAAGCTATTTAATACACACCTTTAATTATTTTACCATAAAAGGCCTTTTGTGTTTTGAACTAACTGAATGTTCTGAGCTAACAAACAACTAATTCATTACCAATTGATACAACACCCCTTAAAATTCTTATTGCCTATTATTTGTCCTCCCAAGTTTTATTTCGTAACACACCACATGGGTGTGTGTGTTCCAGTAGTTCCTTTTTAACATAACATCAGCAAAAACTTTGTATGAGTAATAATGATATGCTGTTATGGAAAGCTGGTCACAGTGCACTCCCTCCAAACGGCATGAGCCATATCTTTCTCATCTATTTTCTGTCATGACAGAACATTATAAGAAGGATGACATAGTTTTGATAAGATCTGTGAAAATTAAGAACTTTATTAAGCAACACAATGCAGCCACTAACAAAAAAGGTGTTAAAGAAAATCTAGAGAATATACAAATTGTGCAGAGTCATTTCTGCCTACAGGACTGAATTATCTCAAAACATCACACTGATAAACTTAAAAACTGACTTATGCACAACCAATTTAAACTGAATCTCAAGCCTCAACTTTATACTTTAACAACAAAAAGCTATCCTCACACCTTCTGACAACTCAATGGGTGTAGCAGAAATGACCTCACACCCACAAAATGACATGATCAGGAAATGCTGTTTAAAAAGGGCAGGAGAGACTGCTGGTGTCATTCAGTGATGGTACTGTACACACTATTACAGCAGCTTTGCAAACCACATTTTGTCACCTTTTTACATACAGTATGGCTACCCTTGGACTGCAACACCTGCAGACAAGGGTGTGACATTAACACTGAGCATGGTTCTACACCAGACTCAATGCAGAAAGAATGTTTTAATATAAAATGTGTGCAATGAGAAAAGCAGAATAAGGAAAGAACAAGTCATAATTTAAGACCTCTCGCATTACTCTGACTCAAACCCTTTAAACCTAAATAAGGTTCAAATGCAGTTAAACATTGTCATGCAACTTATTTGAAAAAGTTAACTTTACTGTAGAAACTGAGCAAATTGGCATCATTTTTACAGAAAACACTTTTTTTTTTTAGCTTTGCCAACATTGACATATCATTTTGGTTTTCACACTGCTAACCTAGTTCTGTATTTGTGCAGTTGGTTAACAAAGGAGGAACAGGAACTCTGTGCATCTACTTTGTCAAGGTGTTCTATCAGAAACAATACCTGTATTTAGGGGGACTTTAGTGTTAGAGCCACAGTGAAAACTACAAGTCAAATTCAGGTACTAGGAGTCAGATCAAGTTTTTCTTCACCAAACCTAGAACTGTCTTTATCACATTGTGTTAGATTCAGGTGCAGTTATGGTAGATTTTTGATCAGGGTAGAGCTGCAGATCTTAACTGTGTGCAACTGTGACAACTCATGCTGTGCTGGTACCATGCAAGTGTTTCTTCCACTGCACAGCATGGTAATGTAAAGAAGGCTGTTTACCTTTATGACATGTTGGGGGTTTGCTGTCAATAGTTGTTTCTGCTGGTACTATTCCTTCCTGCAGTATTAGAAACCAATTAGCTGACCAAAGGGTGCCATAAGTGGTGCGGAGTTAAATCTCTCATTTATTAGTAGGTCCCTGGTGAATACATTCTACTGACCTGGTGATCCTGACTTTTTGCTTTATTGCCACCATAATGTTGGCTTTTAAGTTCTTTATTGAAATATCTCAAATACCAGATGGCTTGCTGTAATATTTGGTAAACACATCCATGGCTCTCAAAATACATGAAAATAATTTTGATTTCCTTATTTTTCCATCTCGTGACTTAATCTAGCACCACCATCAGATCAAAATGTTGGTTTGGTTTATTACCTAATACCTTGAAAACCAATAACATCTCAAGTGCTAATTAACGATTCTGCGCATGCTAAAAGCTAAACCCACACAGTGAAGATGGTAAACATAAATGCTAAAAATGTTAGCATTATCAAAATAAGCATTGTTAGCACTTAGCTCTAGTACAGAGCTACTAGCATGGCTGTAAATTCAGTTCTGTTATTTAAAAACACCAGCACTAATGAAAGTTGATCTAACTCAATGACATGACATTTCTTTTATATCCCTTGCTGTGACGCTGTAATTGAAACATGTCAACACTGCTTAGAAAAGCCCTGTATGAAAGCACAAACACAGAGCAAGGAGCAGCTACAAAAGTTCGGTTTCATTTTAGGAGTCGGTGATTGATAAATGTAAGGATGTGCTGATTTCACCAGATACCAGTTATGGCAAATGCATAAATACAACCTGCATAAAGAAGCTTTAAAAGATATTTCTTGCCCTCAGTAAACACAGGAAAGAAAACATCACTGCTACGTACATCTCATCTCACTTAGGTTGCCGGTGCAAAACTGCAACCTCAGAGTAGGTGACGTCATCAGCAGGTGCTGTCTTTGTGGTTGTGTTTCTGGCTAAGGACACAGTATTTCTGGATGGTTTAAACTTGACATCAGAGTAGACCACATTCTGTAAGAGAGTATTTAAGTGGAGACTTTGTTGTATCATCATTATATTACTATTCTAAGACAGCAATCATCTCTTCTTTCCACAACAGAGCAATCCAAATGTCTGACTGAAACTTATCCAATCAGCTTATTCAACCTAAAGCTAGATGCTGCTTCAAACCACCTCTGAGCTCACCTGGTCTCTATCAGACGTCCTGGCCACATCCTGCACTGGACCACTTGTATCTGAAAGAGAGACACGCTTTAGGAACTGAACAGATCAAAATAAATACATCAGGCGTTGTTTAGAAATAGAGTGAAAAGGAAGTTGTGCATTTGTTCTTACCAATGTAGACGTGTTGTCTGATTGAAGAACTGCGTCTGAGTAAAGAAACCAGTATCACTGTCAACAAGGTTTCTGCATGGGGTTACCTGATTTAAGCAGTAAGTTTTCTTACAAAACCCAGAAACTACAGCTGCAACTACAGTTATTTTCCATTGTATTAATCTGCTGTGTATTTTTTCAAGTAACTGATTTAAGGTGATACTTTCAAATGTCTTTTTTTTAATTTCAAATCCAAATCCAAGGACATTTATTTTACAATAATGTAAAACACAGAAAAGCATCAAAGTTTTAAATATGACAAGCTGGTATTAGAGAAGGTTGTAATATAATGATTTATGTTTTGGGAACTTGCTTTTTGTCTTCATAAGGACAGAATGTGAACACATTTACACTGATCCACCATAACATTATGATCACCTGCCTAATACTGTGCACACAGGAGTCAATGTGGCAGCTGGTTGGCACCTATTTCAACAAAGATTCAAATGAAATGGAATCTTTTGAAAAGGATGAATGAAATTTAAAAGTTTAATCTACAGTAGGTCATCAGTGAGCCCTGGGTGTCCATGACCCTGTTGCTGGTTCACTGTCAGTCCTTCCTTAGACACTGCTGATAGGTACTAACCACTGCAGACCAGGAACAAGACCTGCAGTGTGGGAGGTGCTCTGACCCAGTCGTCAGCTTGGCCCTTAACAAAGTCACTCAGATCGTTACACTTGTCTGTTTGTCCTGCTTCCAACACATCAACTCCAAGGACCGAATGTTCATTTATAATGTTCACTGCCCAGTATACCCCACACTAACAGGTGCCATTGTAATGAGATAATTAATGTTGTTCACTTCACCTGTCAGTGGTCATAATGTTATGGCTGATCAGTGTATGTCTCCACTACGCGAGTGATGAACCCCCCCCCACCCCAAACACACACACACCTGATGAAGGTGAAGTAAGCCACGGCTGCCATCCCCGCCAACAACTGCTATAGCAGAGATCTCCCCTGATGATAACAGCTTCTGTTCTGGGAGAATAAACGTGACTGTGATTAACCCTGTCTGCATCATTCTGTGAAATTACTTTAGAGTTACACTCTAGGTGTTTGTATAACCTCAGGTATTTGAGATCAATATCAGACTTAGGTACATTGGGTAGAATGATGAATTTATTGTGACAGCATAAGTGAGACAAAGTAATGCAGCAGGATAATGTTTAAATGATATCTGTGATGGTCCCATTTATTTAATAACAGGTCCTACATTCAGCCATGTTCTTCTCTACTTACAAGTAATGGACAGTAAAGTTAAAAATATATCATCTAATAATCAAACATGTAAAAACACACACTTCATATATTCGTTTAATGGCAACATGGATGAATGAATTACATACTCACCTCGAACAATAAGGTTGGTTGATTTTTCAAGTGAACCACTGGGAAAGGTTGTAACAGAGCAGGAGTACAATCCTGCATCGCTCATTTCCACATTTCTAATGATCAAAGATTGTTCTGAAATATTCACTCTCCCCTTCAGAGGAGATTCATGAATATTCAGTCCAAGCACTGTGTTAAAAACAAGAATGGAGGTTTTATATCCTCCTGGTTGCAGAATATACCACTGAACCTGACTAATGGTGTGGTTGCTTCCTTTGATGAACTGGCATAGCAGAGTGACATCCAGCCCAAGGTATCCGGTCACTTCAGACCAGACTTGGAGTTGTTGTGCCTCTGAAACTGACAGAAAATATATGACCAAATGGTAAGAGATGTCCCTCTTGTTGAATGCTGGTTGCACAGTATTCACTCTTGACTTTTTTGCTTTTTAGTAATAAAACTAATCATTTCTCAAATACATACAGTATAGAGTCGACTCTTAAACATCTTTTTTACATCACTTGAGTATTTTCTGTAAAAAATTAGCTGTGTACAAATACAGAACTAAAAAGTGATTGTAAATGTCAGGTTTGCCCAGCTGCACCTGCCTCTCTCACTTCTCTCCCTCTATTTTAGCTCCCTTACCCCTGATTTCTTTATCTGACACACCTGCTTCACGTCCACCAGCTACACCTGATTAGTTTCTTCCTATTTATTCCGTGCTCATCGTCTACAGTTCTTTCTATACTCTAGCCCTATTCTATGTCTACCTATTATTTGTTATATAATCTATATTTTGTTCATGCTCTTCATCCCAGCTCCGTTCCTGCCTGGTGCCCCGTGTCTATCTTCCCAGTCGCTATCGCTCCTTCAGACCACGGACCTCCTCAACTCCACATCACTCCACCACGCAGGTCGATGCACAGTCTCCCATTAATTGTTTCTCTGACTTTGTCTCTCAGCAACCAACCACCACGACCAGTCCAGGAGTGAATCCTTGTGTCCTACAGCCCGGCCTCCTCCTTATCACCCACCACTAACTGTATGTTTTCCCGGTCTGCCGCTCGACACCCGGTTCTGCTCCATATTCCTTCACCTGGTTATACACGTATTGTCACTGTAAATAAATAGAGCACTTCTTGCACCGAAGTCAGCTACCTGGGTCCGTCATTTTTCACTCGCTCACCTCCCTACCAGAGCGTTTCTATCAGTAAATAATGTTAATGAGCAAGTTTGACAACAGTCCCTAAACATCTGAAATGATTCCAAATCGGTGTTAACCAGTAGTGTGTGTTCTCACAAAGACCATAAATCTACATTGTACTCAGCCTTTAAAAACAGTAGCTTCAGTTAAAAACATTTGTCTTACCTGAGAGTAATGTGATGTAGATCAGCTTCAGCCATGTGAGACCTGATGTGCTGCCAGGTTTCATTGCGCACGACAAGCGGTTGGTAAAATAACAAAAATGCTTCACCAACTTTGCTGTGCAAAAGAATTAATGCACCGGAAATTAAGGGGATGGGTTACTGTTTGAAAGAGAGGCACGAAGATAAAAATAAAATCTAGCACCGTTGTGTCAGCTTTGTAAACAATCACCGTTTTGTATGTTTGCGTTAAAAGCAACATTCAAGAAACTTAATTCCAGAAAGGCAGATCTGTCCAGTTTCTGGTTTATTAGTGGAAGTCGAAGCCTGGTAACACGCCTGAAAATTAGGAGGAACATAGTCTGACCAAGGCCAACACCAGCTCTGACCAGAAGACACACGGTTTCTGCTACATCACCGCTGTAAAACCAAGGCCACTGGCTCAGTAACGAACTGTAAGGTGGACCTACAGTATTTAGTCTAGTCCTCAGGCTTCTGGACAGGACACGCCGACATCCACACTAATCGGCATCCCATTAAAATCTCTGAAACATCTATGTAGTGAAGTGCATTTAACAGTCTATTAATTAAAATAAACTTACCAAAGAAAGACGAGAGGAATGGCTGCATGAGGAAGCATTTTTCACAACTCTCAGTATTTTAACCAGGAACAGAAACGGTGTACAAACTCCTACAGGCCGTCAGGATTTCATCACTTAGTTGGTTTACCTCACTGCTTCATGCAGGATCCAGCACTAGAACAGTGACCTTATGTGGTCAAATGAAGGTAGTGTCCTCTAGAGAGTTTTTATTTTATAAAAAATACACGTCCAGGTTACTGTTCTGCCAAAGCAGTTCCTACAGATAAACAACACTGAGTTATATTTAGTGTGTTCAGGGATATAATGTATGAGTATCAGATCAGGCTCAAGTACCAGTCGAAGGGCACAAAATTGACCTAAACTTTGTTGCATTTTATAAATGTACACAATCAATTCTTCAGCGAGATCACTTTTATTATACAATACTTGCAAATTATGCATTTACTGTGTTTATAGATCATTTTGAAAAATACAACGTACACATCGACTGTAGACTTTCCATCACTCCTACACTCACACAGAAGCTTTATTGGTGTTGGTGATAATATAGCTACAGTACTGCCAGGTCCGCTCAGCGCGGCCTGCCTCTCTTTTATCTCTCATCCTGCGGGTAGTGATGGCCGATGAGGCTTTGTTGAAGCTTCGACACAGTGTTCACACAAATGGTTCATTACTCGAGGCTTCAATGACACAGTACTCGAGTAGGACATCTAGTGGTCAAGAAATTGAAGTGCAGTCAAGACGTGTCATTGGTTCATGGATTGTTTGGGATT